GCGAGGCCAAGTGCGGTCAACGTGTGTTACGCGGACGCATGACACTGCACAAGTCCAAGGATTGTGCCAAACGTTTGCGTCGCTGCGTACATTGTACACGTGAATTCTCGTGCGACACACTGCCACTGCATGTGGCACAATGTCCACGCGCTCCAATGACTTGTCCGCAACGTTGCGACGCCGGTGCTATTGCACGCGGTGACATGGAAGCACATTTGCGCGATGAATGCAAAGCGTTGGCAATCGCATGCAGTTTCAAGGAAGCCGGTTGCCGTTTCAAGGGACCACGGCATATGCTGGAAGCGCATTTGGAAGCAAATGCCGCGGCACATTTGTCACTGATGGTGGCGCTATCGTCGCGTCAAGGACAGCAAATACAAATGCTGAAGACGGCCGTCTCAAAGTTGTCAATTAATTATACGGGCACTTTATTGTGGAAGATCACCGATTGGTCGTCGAAAATGACAGAGGCGCGCAGTAAAGATGGTTTGGAATTGGTGTCGCCACCATTCTACACATCACAATATGGTTACAAATTGCAAGCGTCAATGTTTCTCAATGGCAATGGGCCCGGTGAGAATACACATGTTTCCGTTTACATAAAAGTGCTGCCGGGCGAATATGATGCATTGCTGAAGTGGCCATTCTCGCACTCGATTACATTCACACTCTTCGAACAAGGCGCGCAAACGGGACAGGGCGGTGTAGCCGAGTCGTTTGTGCCGGATCCCACATGGGAGAACTTCCAGCGTCCATCGAATGAACCAGATCAATTGGGTTTCGGATTTCCACGTTTCATTTCACATGAAATGCTACACAGACGACCCTTCATTAAGGACGATACGGTGTTTTTACGTGTCAAAGTGGACCCCAGTAAAATTGTGTCGGTCTAAAGTCCCTGAAACTGGCCGGTGTGTATTTATTGCACACACTAACGCTTTTTTTTTTTGTGCGATTTTAATTAGCATTTAAATGAATACTGTGTATTTAATATAGTAGGTAGTTATGTAAGTGAGTGTAAAAGACAAGCAACAATGCCGTCACGAGTGGTAAAACGCAAAATAATTCCAAAATACATGAAAACCAATTTGGCAGTCACTGCAGCTTCGCGTGCGTAGACGAAGCAGCTACACTACGCGCAAGCAAAAGCAACAACAATGACAAAATATACAAGCGGTGCGGTGAAGATTTTAATTTCTTAAAGTGGACAAGCACAAGTCAGTTTTTTTTAAATAATATAAAACATATTTAAGTAATTTTAAAACATTGCGAAAAACACGCAGTTTTCAAAAACAACGAAATCAGACCAAAGTTAATGCAAACGAAAAAAGGAGCAAGAAAAAATTAATATTAATTAGCATAGTAAGCAATAATAAACCATAATATATACCTGTTTAGTATAAGGGAAATAACACACATTAACACTGACAACAAAAGTTAGCGTCTTAAGTCTTTTGTTATGAGAACAAAATGTATGGTATGTATTGGTAAAAATAATTGATTTTAAAGCAAACACTTTCAAAAGATCTTCATTTGTTTAAACACAAAGATTTATAGGTTAGTTTTAGTTTGTGCTCATTATAATTTTTTTTTTTTTTTTTTTTGGATTCATAATTTTTATTTTTGTGGCACAACAGCCAGTAAATGCCACTTGTGTATATAATCGTTAGTAGCGACCAGCTAGGGTCTATGAAAGTCAATATTATGACCAGAAATGACATTTAAGCGCATAAATCATTCATTTTTTAATAAAGTGTTGGAAAAAACAACAAAATTGCAAATACATACATTTGCACAAACAGCATTAGTCATTAGTTTATAAGTACAGCTGTGTCTGAGTAGTTTGTAAACATACATTTATAACTATATAGATACATATAAATGCTTATGCATTTCTTTCATTTACTTTCTATCATTTACTCTTTAATAATAATAAAGGAAAAAAACGTATAGTTACTTTTGAAAATGTCATAAAAAGCATTATTTAAAAATTAAACGCTCTATAAGGCCAAAAACTTAAAGACAAAGAATTGTTTGTTTAATTTTATTGGTAAAATTTCAAAGACAAAAAGAACAGTAAGTACTAGGTATATACAGAAAGCCTGGAAGAGGGTCAGAAGGACGCAACTTTCACATATTATTGTTGTCAGAGGAACCCACCGAGCGTCCAACTTTGTTAGTGAGTCCAAGAAAATTAGGGGTTAATCATATATTTTGCCATCATCAGTAATAAATAATAAAAGAATATAGAAAGAATAAAACCAAAGGATATAAGAAAATAAATCAGTTAGTAGAAAAACTACACAGGAAAATTATTATTTAAAAAGTCTTTGAAACTGATAATTTAATCAGCATCAATTGAAAATTTGGGATTAATTACAGCAAGGTCACATACCTAGTCGTCATCAATGGAAATGAAACAATTAAAGTAAAATATTAAAAATTGTTGGAATGCAAAAATTACTTTAGAAAGGTATTTTTAAGAAGCGTTTAAAATTAATCATTTAATTGCTTTGTTAGAAGGTACAAAAAGGTTAAGAATTAATTACAGCAAGGTCACCTACATACGTAGCCGTCATCAGTGCCCTACCTAAATAATTTAAGGAAAATATTAATAACTCTTGGAATGCAAAAATTTCTTACTAAAAAATCTTTGAAATTGATAATTTAGCTTTATAACAATTAAGTATTTTTTTTACAAACGTAACGGAAACAAAAATTTTCATAGTGCTACCTACACTACGTAAAGGAATTACGCTTTTACAATCATTATTTGTAACACATTATTTTTTATGTCCAAACATTTTCGGTTTATATGACCCCACTAAACCAAATTAGGTCGTTCTACGAAATCCACACATGAAACTATTATGAACATCACAATTTTGTAATAAATTTTGTCGGGATCACTCTATTGTAGCAGCTTACATTTTAAATAAGTTTGTATATTCTGCTCTATGTTGTTTTGGATATGTATGCGAATTATGAAAGTTACAGTTATAAAGACGGATAACCAAATCTTTCAAAAACTTTATTTGTAGCAATTTAATTTCATTACGAAAATAACAGTTTACATAGTTAAACGGAAATATCGCAGCCAACTAAAATTTCTAAACTATCTGAAAACCAGATCCGGTCCAATTTTTCGGTTGGAACGACTGAGAAAATAACGAAACTAATAAATGTAGGATGAAACGAAATGTAAGGAAATTAAAAAGATACTGAGACGAGTAAACGGAAGCGAAAAATTTTTGCTCCCATATATGGATGTGCATACATTAGTACATATGTATGTATTTATATTCACCACTAATTTTCTGGAAGATAAAAATTATAATAAATTAATTGAAAGTACATGTTCGATATTACTGGTGTTGATTATTAATGCCCATTTTAATATGTTAAAACAAAAAAAAAACTCACCTTTGATAACGTAATTTAATCGTTGTTCATTTGTCATAACGGCATATTAAAACTGCGAGGCTCTAGCATATCTAAATGTGCAAATATGAAAATCTTAAATAAACCACTTTTGTTCACAAATTTTACCATTAACACACCTTGAGTAGCAACTAACGTATTTAATAAATAAATACATATTTTTACATATAGTACATAAATATACATATGTATGTTTACAGGTAAGTAAATTGGCAAAAATTAAATCTTTACTTTATCTTCGAGTGACCACGCTTTTCAGGCAATTTTTTTCATATGTTTGAAATAATATTTTTTTAATAATTACTTTCACCGTACATACAACTATTAAAGCTTAGATTGAATACTTTATAAACACTTTGATGGCATTTAATTACTTCTATGCAATTATTTCTTACACCAACATTATACCGAAACTAAAGAATATCCACGCACGAACTGTCAATTGGCGAAATACAATCAAACTAGAAAAAAAGGGAAATAAAAATTTAGAAACGGACTAACGGATACGAAAATTAGATGCTTAAATATGTATACATATGTATATGTACACGCATACACACATAAATTCCTACATATGTTCAAATTAATGTATGTACGTATGTAATATTTGTTAGAATCATTATAATACATTTTTAATAAGATAACATTTTTGGATAACCTCTTTTTTAAATCTATTTAAAGGTAAATTAATTTTTCTCGTTTACTATTTTGATATACTTATTTAATGCTATGATGATAACTACCAATAAAATATAAAAAACAATTTCTTTAATATAACTTTAAACTTAATTATTTATGTTTATCCAAAATATGCATTACAAAAAATTTAAATTTATTTAAATAAGTTGAAGCAACGTACCACTTGATATACCATTAATCTGAGTCACCCTGTTATAGCGGTTGTAGTTCGTAAAACTGAAATGCACATTCATATACATACTTATGTATGCAAGCGAATAGCGGAACTCACAAATAGCATAAATATATCACTTTTATAAACATATTTTAATGAGTAAATGAGTGAACACACATAATATATTGCATTTAACATATTTCATAACAAAGGACACTGGTACAAACTAATTGCATTGCTTTACTTCACCGCGAGTGAACGCATTTGGCAAACCGACGCCTTAGAACCATTTTCACAATATATTCCACTATACTTCACTTTCACTGCACAAAGAACATTTACACTTTAAATTAAACTTTAACCAACATTTTTTAACACTTTTCACTATTATTAATCACAACTCTAGCGTTTATTTTACGAAAATATTTCACACAACCCAATTTGCAAAGTTAACTGCAATAACGACGCGTACGAACTGTCATGCACACGAACGATCAAATTGGAACGAAAGGGAATAAAACGAAACTAACTGAATTGGGAAAAACTAATAATAAAGGAAATGAAAAATTTGAAAAATTCAAAATTGCGGAACTGTGTAGAAATAGTTGGTAGAAATTAAATACTTACTTGAAACATACATATGTATATATACATATATATAAGTTAATATATTTACACTTTAGATTAGATAAAATAAAAAGCAAAATTTGTTTAAGGAATATTTGCGGCAACATTTATTTTTCTGAAGGCGGCGCATTATAATCAATTATTAGCAATAATTTCAGTTTTCAATTACAATTTAATGTAGGTGTGTTAAAAAAAATTAAATTATTGAAATATTGAACGGTAGGTAGCAAAGACCCTCCCGCTGTGACAAATATGCATCATTATTGTTTTATACAATTTAATTTCTAAAGCGTAGCGTCGCACTCACACCCGCAGCCACACCTGCAGCACCGGCCGTTTCAAGACTTGTGCCTGCCACACCACTAACTGGCGGTTTAATACCCATTAATTCGCATAGTTGATTGCGTACGGGACGCACCATAATTAGCGGCGATCCCCAGTCTGTTTCAGATAATATATTCAATATCTCATCCATATTCTCTTCTGGAATGTCACAACTGTCACCATGCAAAGCAAGCGCTTCATATAATTTAGTAGCACTTGTTTTGCGCACATGTACATGGGTAAGACCAAGAAATATTGCCATTTTGGATAGTATGCGTTTGCAAAGATGTGGTACTTGCACCAGCTGGCAATAGACACTTATGCTCGATACTAGTTTGTACAGTTTTTTGTGTCCTTTAATCTCAAGATTCAGCAGGCGGTATATGTCATCACCAAAAGTATTTGACTCATCCAATAATACCACGTTTATGGTGCCTATTAATGTGAATAATGTGATAATTTGTGAAAAATGAATAATACTAAGGTTTGTATCAAGACTTACCTGAACTTATTAATATGTCCAAGAAGTTCAACATCGGATAGGTAACGCGTTCGTTCATGACATTCTCTTCGAAATTGGCGACTATTTCTTTACATAAACGTGGCACTTCCGCAGGATGTGTACGTAGAAATTCGAAAAATGCTGCCGATGAGTATTTTATCTAACAAAAATTGTAATTTGAAAAAGATGAATTCGAAGTAAAAAAAGATTTATTATTTGTTTACCAAAGACTCGGTCAACTGTCCAATGCTTGCGCTTAACCCGAGCAATACGCGCTGTGAGTAATCGGGCAAATCGAGCAAGGAGCAGAATAGCGGGAATGTCTGGTCGGCAAACAGCCACAATACACTATTAACATCGGCGGGGAATATCTCCAACAGGCGTGGATGATGCCGTATGTGCGATATGGGGGGTGTAGTAGTTATAATTTGACAGAAGAGACGACCGGCAAGGCCGCGTGTACGATCTATTTTCTCAACAGCCTGCTGCATGAAGCCCAACATAATTTGATGAACTTGCTGTGGCTGTAGTAGGTCCTTCGGACATGTCGTGATAAGTTGATGGATGGCTAGAGAAGTTACCGCATACAATTTTCATATACAAATTCTTGGATTTTAGTTTAATTACCATTCATTGCTGCTTCGCGTACCCAAGCGCCAATATCACCGCGATTGTCTAATGTATATTCATCCAATGCTTTTATAAAGCAGTCGACAACTTTGTTGAAATACTTTGGATTGCCAAATGAAACTTAAAAAAGAGAAAAATATCCAAATATTATAATTTTAGAAGAAAACTTGCCGCTTCTAACAAAACTTACTTTTGCTGTCTCTACTAAAACCCAATGTGTGCACCACATTGCTAAGCGCTTTAACACTATCACGTCTCGCTTCGCTCCATGTGCCCGTTGCCAGGTTCTCATGTTGATTCATCATTTCGCCGGTTGTAATAACAGCTTGTGTTGGCGTAAGCGAATGCTTAATCAGACTTTCGAGTACGTCATCTAAATTCGCTTTGATCATAAAGTCGGGCAATGCACCCAAGGCGCTTATATAGCCCATGCGTGTGTGCTCTTCCATGATATTTGTGGCACCTTTCAGATAGCTTCTTATAATTTCCGCATTTGCGAGAACTCGCTCTTCACCCTTATAGTATGAGCGGCAAAGTTCTGCGAAGGCTGCTGAGGCACCCTCCCGTATGGCAGATGCTTTATTTAATAGGCATTTATCGATGATGTACTGCCAAGACTCTGCAGTTCAAAAAATGTTTACTACTCTCATATGCTTGAACAAAAACATTTGTACTTACCCACACACGTGACGGATGCTTCAATGCGTGCCAAGCTGCAATTTCTTATGAAATCAGTACAACAATGTTTCATAATTTCACCGCTCATGCCACGGAACATATCGCGATGCACATATTTTGCCATAAGCTCATTTAGATCGGTCAACAATTGATTAGATAGTAACTTTTTGCAAGCGTTGCCTTCACCTTGACGCTCTATCTCCCTCAAGGCCAGTGTAACTTCACCAATAGCTAGCACAGTACCATGTCGCATATTGATATCAATGGATTCGGTTTTGCTCAAAAGCTGTCCCAACACCACAGTTGCCATATATTCTGGTGCGCGAAAGGTTAGCTTATACAACGCTTTTGCGGTCAGTTCACGTATCAACGTATCCCAGTGATTAACTTTTCGCTCCACTAAGTGATCGATCAGCGGTTTTTGATATTCCTCAAATTGTGCTATGTAATCACCTACATTCAAGTAGGAATTTTGCCGTAAACCCACAGAGAAAAAATCAGTTGCTGTTGAAATTTCTATGCCATGTGGAAAATTTCCTAGACGACCAACACTCTCTTGGAAAGCAGCAGCAGCAGCGCGTCGACAATTTATTTCACGATCGAATACAGCTACGGTCAACAGACCTGAAGATATTTGCTCCACAAAAGGTTGAAAATCCTCTGGATTGTAGGCGCGTGCAAACGCCCAGCACATGTAACAGGCAGCGTCGCGTATATGCTGGCCTACCGACATGTACCCTTTCATTTCATCGTAAAATAAAGCCTGCATCAAGAGTGGCACCAGCGTGCGTAAACGATGTGGCAACAGCAGCCCACGCTTTGCTAGCTCAGCTAGCGCTAAGCAAGCACCATGCCAAGCCTCATGCGGCTCCAGAGGATTTAATATGTCAATGACAGAACCGATTACTTCATCGGCCAACTCTTTGGAGAGTCTGTTGGTGACACGACCTATACCCTTGGCGGCACTCCAACGTATGTCACTACCACCACTGCGCAATGCTTGTAACAATTCCTCTATTACTTCCTCGATGGCATCTGGCACAGTGATTTCTTCACCATCACCATCTGCATTGTCCGTATCGGGCTCATTTCCGCTGGGGCTTTCGTTAGCCGCAGCATTTGTAGACTTATTCAAATTCATAGCCAAGGAACGCGTGCCTGTAATTTATTTTTAATGTCATTTTTAGATGTAATTTCTTATTAGGATTATCTATTTCTATATAAATACCACGCTTGTATCGCCAGCCTGCCAACCGTGGCTTCAAGTACACCAAACCTATGCGCTGCACAATCTTTATGTAGCACTTGTATTTCAAAAAATCATTACTTTCTTTATATTGCAGTCCAATAATCCATTTCAACAATTTATCAGCGTATGGCAGCAAATCTTCACGTTTGCCATGCTTCAAAATAGCAGAAACGGCAGCTAATTCACCGAATTTAGCATCGCCACTTTCCGATTGATGTTGGCTCATTACCCAGTCCAAATAACGTTCCAAGTAAATATCCTTAATATCAGCGCGCACTAAATATTTGGCAGCCAAATATGCCGCGATATTGCTACATGTGTCATTTGTGGTTGAATATAATTGGCAGAGATCAAAAATCCGTTCCATTTTTGATTTACTATGCACATGTGTATGATTCAACGTTTGCGTATCAATGCAGTTACCAGACGAAACTGGCTCGTTAGGCTTAGTGGCGTAAGCATCCAAACGTGACATATGAAAGGGATTCAAAACCAATATAGACATCCAAAGCAACAGCATGTACCGTGTTTCCCAGTGGTTATATTCATTGGGATTTTGACGTTCGAGCATTTCCAAAGCGAATTCGAGATCAGCCAATTCATGTGGTAAAAACTTTACCAATACTTTGTATGTGCGTACTTTAGTTATAATATACATATATTTGAAGGCGGCATGAATTTCGCCTTCCGACAACGCCCTATTATGAACTTTCGCTAATAACCGCTCCAATAATACATTCAAGTGTGGATCCAGTAAATGTGGTTGTTCTTGATATCTAAAGTATATGAGACATGTACATTATTATTTTATGCCCCCTACAGTCATTATGAGCATTGAATATACCTCGATAAAATTTCCGTGTACTGCTCAAAGTCTTTTTCAAAGCCTGGCTCATCGCAAGCTTTCATACAATCGATCATTTCGAGTACTTGCTCCAATTCCGTAAACTGCTCCAGCGTATTCGAGGGACCTTCATCGTCCTTCAGTTCTTCGCATTGCAGCATTTTTAGGCAGTCGTTATTCGACTCTTTTACTTAAAATTTTTGGCAATTTTTCTATTTTTTCTCAACAGCCGGTTGCTGAGTGTGTTGCTTAGGATTTTTCTGATCTACGTAAATTTATAGACTTGCTTTGTTGTTGCTTTGCTTGTGTTTATTTCTGTTGCTTTTGTTGGACTTTTGTTGACTACATTCCATTCCCAAACATTGCACGTCCAGATGACACATCAATATATCCCAGTAAACATTTGTAATAAAGCGACTTTCTTTAGAAATGGCATGGAAATGAAAATGTAAGAATATTAACGATTTCAGTGTTCAGTAACGCCAAAAATTTGTTTGAGAACAAATAACCGGTAAAATTTGTGCCGAACATACCATTATTGAAATTTTCTCTTATTTGAAGGAAATATAAATACTTGTAATTTAAAAACACTTTATAAAAATATGTAATAAAATCTTATAAACATTGAAATGAAAGCAATATAAATAACATATTAAAGATTTAATATAATAATTTTAAATTTATGTAGTGTTGTCTTTTTTCACATTTGAATTTCTACCTGCGGTACACCCTGTCTACTTACACTCTGTGTTCGGTCCCAGCTTGTCTGACAGTATAAAAGAATCGTCACCTACACAATTATTACAGAAGGAGTTGTGAACACGAAAAGTGTGAAGCTATAAAATTTTAGAGTTATTTTTACAACTTCTCAACAAAATTTATCAATCGAAATAAATTATTTAGTGCGTACGTCGTAGTGTTGAAGTGAAGATGGAAGCAGCGCCAACTGCTGAGTTAGTTTATCAGGGTATATGTACCCTTTTCCACAACAGTAATCCCAAAGAAAAGGAAAAAGCCAACAAATGGCTAGAGGATTTTCAGAAGTCGGTGAGTTATCTATTAAATTCAAAGCAAAACTTTATACAATGTATTCAAAAATGTCACTTAACAAATCTCATAATTGCAGATATATTCATGGACAATTGCGGACGAACTGCTGCAACAGAAACGTGATTTGCATTCGTGTTATTTTGCAGCACAGACGATGCGTAACAAAATTCAAAATTCGTTCAATGAACTCCCACCTTCATCACATGAATCCCTGCGCGATTCATTAATTGTACACATTGGACAAATAACAAACGATACCGATGCAGTAATTGTAACACAGCTTAGTCTTGCCGTTGCTGACTTGGCACTGTTAATGGCAGCTTGGAAGCAACCAATTATCGATTTACTAGAATTATTATCGCCACAAGCACAATCTGTGTGGCCACTACTGGAGATACTAACACTATTACCAGAAGAAATAGATTCGCGATATTTGCGTTTAGGCTCGAATCGACGAGAGGAGATTCATAAACAATTAGATGCTGCTGCGCCAAAAGTACTCGAGTTCCTATGTATTTGTTTACAACGCTGTGATGGACAGGAACGGCTTTTGAACTGTACGCTACGCTGTTTCAGCGCTTGGGTTGCAGTGCAAGCAATACCCATGCATCATTTCACAGAGAATCCAGTGGGACAAAAAGTTTTCCAGCTTTTAAGTAGTGCAGAAACTTCAAGAAAATTACATGATACATGTACAGAATGTTTGTGTGCCCTACTTAGCTGCCTTGAAGCTAGTACCACTCGTTATAAGCTGGATCCGACAATTGAAGCACAAATTTTTAATGCAGTTTGTTCTTTAGAAACGGCATATCATATTAGTGTGGCACATGAAGATATCGATAAGACAATGAATTATTGTCGCATATTTACAGTTTTATGTGAGGCTTTCTTTTACGAAATGCTTTCCAACGAAGAAGTGCCACATTATTCAATTAAAGGTCTCGATTTGGTGCTGATGTGTGTTGGTCATTTTGATTATGAGGTAGCAGAAATTACATTCAATTTGTGGTATCGCCTAAGTGAGGATCTCTTTCAACGCTATAACGATAAGTTAACATCACATTTTAAGCCACATATTGAACGACTATTGGGCGCACTTTACCGACATGCACAAATGGACGCCGATCATGATGGACTGATTGATGAACACGATAGTTTTAATGTAAGTATGAAATAGTTGTTTATGCGGCCAAATATTAATTTGGAATATTCTATTTCAACAGGATTTCCGACGCAAAGTGTCTGATTTAATCAAGGATGTAGCGTTCATTGTCGGTTCGGGTGCGTGCTTTAAACAAATGTTCCTTATATTACAAGCGCCGAATGCAACGTGGGAATCGACCGAATCGGCTTTGTTTATTATGCAAAATGTTGCCAAAAACATTATACCGTAAGTACACAAATATTAACAATTTCATGTTTTTAATTATTACATAAAACACTTTTTATCATTTTTTTCTAGTGATGAGAACGAAGTTATACCCAAAGTTGTAGAGGCCATATTAAATTTGCCCGATAATACGCACATTGCGGTACGTTACACCTCAATCATGTTGCTGGGCGAACTATGCGATTGGATCGAAAATCATGCGGAGTCGCTACAAGCCGTACTCAACTTTCTGCTCTATTCACTGCAACAGAAGAATGGCTTAGCCGCAGCCGCAGCGATAGCGCTCACATCCATCTGTGCCGCCTGTCGACAAAAAATGGTGTGCCACATCAGCGGTCTTGTCGAGATTGCGCGTAGTCTTGATAGCTTTGAAATCAATAATGATTTAGCGATTGGACTATTAAAAGGTATTTCGTTAATACTTTCGCGGTTGCATCACACACAATTGGAGACATCGATGCGTGAGATAATTTCCTTTCAATTGCAACCATTAGCACTAATGGTAGAGAACACAACTGCCACATTGGGAAGCGTACAGAAGGGCGAACGCACCGATCCCGCCTATTGGATTGATCGCGCCTGTGCAGTTATACGTCACACGAATCCGGACATCGCCGACGGTGAGCTGCATCCCACCGTGCAGATACTAACCGACGCCTGGCCATTGTTATCACAAGTTATGGTTAAATATCAAACCGATGTACGCATTATGGAGCGTACATGCCGACTCATACGCTACGGTGTGCGTATGGTACGCAAACAGGCTTCGATTTTGGTTGAGCCATTGGTCAAGCAAATGATTTGTATATATGCGTTGCATCATCACAGTTGTTTCTTGTATCTCGGCTCGGTGCTAGTCGATGAATTCGCCAAAGCCGGTGAATGTATACCAGGTAAGCGTAGATTTGTTATACAACATGACCTTCATGTACTTAATTTCACTAATATTTGCACAGGTCTCTTAGAAATGCTGAAAGCATTCATTGAACCCACCTTTAGTATGTTACGTGTGGAGAATGGTCTCAAAAACAATCCAGATACTGTGGATGACTTCTTTCGCCTGTGTTCCCGCTTTATCGAATGCTGCCCAGTACAGTTTCTGCAGAGCACACTCGTCACACCGATTTTCCAGTGCGCTCTACTCGCCTGCACGCTCGATCATCGTGAGGCCAATTCATCGGTGATGAAATTCTTTTGCAATCTCTTGAAATGGGGACGCAGTTCAAATCAACGCCATCCCGAATGTCGTCCCTTGGTAAAAGATATAGCCGAACAAAATGGCGCAGCATTAATTCTAAATCTAATACATGCATCCGTGTATTGTCTGCATTCGTATATGTTGTCCGATGTCGCCGATGTGATATATGAACTGAAATCGGTGGAAACAAACGAACATATGCAGACGTACATCAGCACGGCACTCGATGCTTTGCCCAAGCGCAATAGTGGTGGCTATGTGACGGCAACGCAACAGCAATTGGACGATTTCACTGCCGCAGTGTTAAGGTAGGTCATTAAGCACTCGAAACTTTAAAATAAAATTAACCTATATATTTTTGTATTTTCACTTTCCAGCAGTGCCAGCACGCCGAAGACAATAACCGTAGCGCTGAAAAATTTCACACGCTTGTACCGCTAATTACAGCTTAAATTAGATGCTTATATACTAATATACTCGTAACTACGTATAACAGCAAATATTATGTATTTATATATGTATGTACATTTTTTGCATACTTAAATGTATTTAACGAAATTTTAGAATTTGTTAAACTCCAACATATGTAAATGTTGAAATTCCACTGCGGAATATTTTTTTTATAAAGTCAAAAGACGACTGACCATACAGCAGAGATGTTTGTATGTAATATCTTATATTTAATTAGTTCATTTAACTAACCATGGATTTTATTTTATAAAATCGCCCAATATATATGTACAAAGCAATTTCAATGTAACAAGTTGAATTATACATAAAAAAAAAAATTAATATATACATACATACATATATTGTATATATATGTATATTTTTTGCCCAGCAAACCCAAACCGTCTAAATACGGCGGTTTATAATTAAATTTGAGTAAAAACAAATAACGTTAGCGTGTGTTAATAGTGAACAGGTTTAGCTAGTAGTGGCGTAGTTTATATTTTAGCAGAATGCAAATCAAAAAAACATACAAATACACATATAATCATTAAAATTAATACATTGAAATTTTGTGTTAAATAAAATAATGACCGAACAGGACCAAATTTTACTTTTCACTCTTCTTTTCTTTAGAAATAAGGCATTCAATCCCCGTTAGGATGGTAAGGGTTATCTGTGTTGTCGTCGACGTCATCTAACGAGAAGTCCAGGAAACCAGGAAACGTGCTGTTTCGACGGGGTCGGACCAAAGGGAAAAGGGTGTTAAATGGGTGGGGTTGGTAGGGCATGCAAAGAGGTGGTCAGTGTCATGCGGAGACTCGTTGCATGGACGACATGCCGTGGGTATGTCAGGGTCTATTCTGGATAAGCAGGAGTTTAATCTGCTACAATATCCGGAACGAAGTTACGCTATTATTCCCAATTCCCAAGACAGCCGGTTCTACGCACCAGAATGTTGAATTCGAATTTCCGTTTTCACGACAGTCGGCTCTACGTAAGCAAAGCGGACACGGATTTTTTAATACTACGCAGTCATCGGTTCAAGCAACAGTCGGCTCTACGTAACCGGAATGAACCCAGTTTCTTTTTCCGGCCAAGGAGCAGATTTCTGTCGCTACAACAACTACACAGCCATCTGTAGAGGTTATGACCCGACTTGAACACCTCTTACATTTTTAAGGTAACCAGAAACTCAAAAAGCTCCTTCCCTCTTCACCCCACCAATTCTTACATAATTTTAGTTGCAAAGAATCAGAAGTGACAGCTCATTTAAGAATTCAAAGAGAAGATTGCAAGTTAAAACAACCATCTTGAAAATTACGGCTCCCGTACACACGGGCGATCTGATCTTTATACCCAGTTCTGACCCGCAATTTTCTCCAACCAATGAGAAACAACTCGTATCCTCAAAATTATTTATGTAAAGTCTTATGCCACTACAACAACAACAACTGGTTCACTAAATTACACAAAACATATGCACAAACTACAATAAGTTTATTATTTTTTTTTTTTGCACCAACATATATGTACATACACACATATACTTATTTAAACACATAAAGAAATAAATAAGTTAAAAGCGAAAACAAAATGGAATGTAGTACTCACCAAAAAAGTAAAGTGAAACAAAAATTCTAGAACTAAACAGCAGACGAATAAAGGCAGCAATCATTTACAACAACAACAACAACTTATGGCAAACGCTTCTTCAACAAACTCTCCAGTTTGCGTATGCGACCACGATCGCTGCCGCTATTCGACGAACCATCGGCGTGCTTATCAGCACTACCCGTAAAACTGCCGACACTGAAAATAAATGCACGTTTCGGTGTGGAAGTGGCACCGCCAGCTGCCGCTGTAGCACTCGCAGTTGCTGACTGTGCCGAAGAAGCGTTTTCTTCAGTAACTTTCGTGGACGTTGAACTCGCATCAGTATTATCGCTGACGTTCAGCTCTGACTGCGGCTGCGTGCTGTCCTCCTCAGCAGCTGCTGACAGTTCGGGCAAACCATCGACTACGGCGACATGAGAGGCAGTGTGTTTGAAGAGATCAATCAATTGTAACTGATCAACGCGTTTCACCGCTTTCATATCTAAAATTTTCTGATATTCCGCAATGGTGATGTCGGGCAAAAGTTTAAGCACCTGCTGCGTAAAGTGGGCGGGCGGCTGTACGGGTGTCATGACCACTTTAATAATCATTTCGGCACGCGTCATATCCTTCACGACCACTTTAGTGTAACTAGTGGGCGCCTTGCGATTGACGCTCGAGCCAATCGAAGGCAAATCAAGCAAAGCGGTTTTCAAACTGTGTGTATCGAGCAAGAGTTGCTCGCAACCCAAAACATTGTTACTGCCATCGGAATGTGTCAGCTTGCATTTGTAGAGGACATTAATGAATTTCGGTATGAAAGCGTTGACAAACTTGTGACAGAATTGTGTGAAGTATTTACGTGATGTGGCCAGATTATCGCGAATCACCGGTATTGTCTGCTTGAAATTCGCACAAATGCTGCTAATGAAGGCACTCTGATCACCCACATTGCTTATGCTCTGCCACTGTACTTTGGACATGGACTGTAGAGGCGCTTCACAGCCCGCCTCTAAATCCTGCACCAGCAATTGTATGCAGTTCGAAATAATGCTGTGAGAAAATTAAAAAAACAATTTAATCACAAACTTGATACAAACAGTTACTTGCTACTAACCGATGAAAGACATCCTTTTCTTCCGACATATCTATTTTGTTGGCATATGCTGTAGATATTTTCTCCTTAAGTTTATCCTCTAATTGTTGCACTGTCTCCAGACAATATTCAGCTGTGGTTAGCACACAGCAGATTTGTATTAAATCTTCGCGTGAGAAACGTTGAGTATCGCCTTCTTTCAAGAAATTATGGAAAACTTGACCCGCGGCTGTGGAGAGATTCTGCATATCGCGTGTGAGCAAGGACATGCTTTTACCTGCAGAATTATTTAAAATAAAGATTAAAGACAAAAGGAAAAAACAAGAAAAAGCTTAAATTAAAAAAATTGAGCTCACCAATGGATGCTGTTGTTGTCAGCAATTTTGGTGTACTAAACTCTAATACTTTGCTGGCATATTCACGAAGATATTTCTTAAATACTAAAGCCAATTCATACATCGGCTGTTCATTGCTCAGCTGGTTGCACTGCACCATACACTTCTTATAGAATACAAATAAGTCTGCCGAACTGTAAAAAAAAAAAAATTATTTACATTTTCTTCATAATGAACATGTATATTAATGCGCTCACCTAGGATAGACAGTGGTTTTCGATTCGGCCACTTTGAAGGGTTCCTTAGCCATTTCCACAAATTTCTCCATAAGCTCCGATAGATTACGATCAATGCTCTTAATATAAATGCCTAGATGTGCTTTGAAGCAACTGGCAATTTGATCTTGAAACAAGCCAATGGTGGGCGGTGCATTTGGATCAACCACACCACTATCGGGTAGTGCTTTGAGTACAGTTGTTGATAGACGCCGCTCAGCGCCCAAAGTTACGCCGGTGAAGCGTTTGGATAGCAGCTGTTCAAAAGCTTGTGTTTTATTGATGGCAAAAAGCAGCAGACGCACATCAATTTCATTGCTGCGTTTCGACATGATTTGTGTGAGCTGTTCACGTGTTAAACGACAGAATTCGACAGTAATACGTTCAGATACTTCCCAGTCGAGTGGAAACACAACACCGAATTTATCCTCAAAGTCAAGTAGATGGCGTTTAAGCCAAGCGTAGCGTTTGTCAATCTTATCTAGCCAAGCAATATCTTGGTTCTCGTGAAATAGTTGCACGTACTCTTCAAGTTGTTGTGCTACTTGTTTAAAAATTTAAATTTTTATAAATAGAAAAAAACCGTTAAAGAAATTATTGAAAAATCAATTTGAAATAACGCACCTATAAACCACTTTAACAATTCCTTTTTGACTTTAGGATCCAAAACGGAAATCACTTTACAAGCATCCGCCAGCTGATTCAAACCCAAACGCTGCTTGTTGCTAGCATTTCCAGTTGCAGCTGATTTATGAGAGAATGCATCTTTAAAATCTTCTGTGATTTGTTTAGCCAATGTCACTTGTATTTTGTCAACATTTTGCGATAAATTCTAAAATATTAAAAATTATATATTCTTATACTTACATACATATACATATATCATATATATTAACAACTAGGTGTTTATTTACCTTTATTTCGTCAATATCAGAATATTGCTTAAAGTGTTGGTTAACTTCAGTAATTGCTTGCAATGGATTTAGTATTTCGCCATACAAACGCTTTTCAATCAATTTATTTAAACTTTCAATGCCACCGACCAGCATATGCAAGTGATTTAGTGTCGTAATCGCAGAAGTGAGATTTCGTTTTGCACAATCCAACTGTTTGATATCGCGCGTAATCTCTTTTACCATTTCCTCTGTTTTTTCAGCACGCGTTTTCACATCAATAATGTGCGCATACAATGTTGTTATAACTTTTTGCGCTTCTGTAAGAGCCATTTGCCCATCCTGACCGGTATTAGTTTGTCCACGCACAACAGCACGTATATTATCATCAATTAATGACACTTCACATTGCATGCGCTGTATGGTCTCATCAATGGTTACCAAAGACTGTTCATTGGGAAAAAGCTGATTAATATAATCAACCGTGTTGAAGTCAGGTGAGTCCATTGGATCATCAGTTTTCAGCACCTGCAAGTTGTTAAATGTAATGAAAACTTGTTTTAAGTGATGCAGTGAACACCCTCGATTGTACCATTTAGTTGCGGTACGTTCTTCAATTCCAAATAATACGAACAAGAGACTAGCAGTCGCTACCCCTGACATACTGATAATTAATATTCCAAAGTTGTAAGCTACTTACCTTATCGATTGCATTCTTTACATCTTTTGTAAAATGGATACGATGGGTGCCAGTAGTCGTAGTACCATCACCCATATCATCGTCCACTTCCAAAACTTTTGTGCTCATTTTTTAATTCTTATTATTCTTCAATTTTATTAAAAATTGATGTCACTGCTGTTTGTTAAGCGAAAATTGCATTTACGCAAAACGTCATCAAAGGTGTAACAAACAGCTGATTGAACAGTTAAGTGTGGATGCCATACCGTTTAGAAGTTAAAACAGGAATATCTCTGATTAAAACGGCAACAAAAGGCAAACCGAAATGGAAATTATGAAAAATCAAACTTTTACTTATTTATTTACTTTATTGAGAAAAATGACTCGTATTCATTGAATTACTCAATCCTAGTGAAGAAGTATCACGTTGCGTAGCCATAGCCGTGCGTTGATAACGCGCAATATGATCTAGTGAATGAGGCAATATTGGACGCACTGTATGCATCTCTAACAGCGTTAAATTATCCAATTTAGCATATGTTCCCTCGCCTTTGATGAATGCGTCGATGGAAGTTCGCAATTTTGCTTCACGAATATCAAAAATATCTTTGATAATTGTACGCAACTCTTCACATTTTGGCACATCGTCTGGTGCAGTACTCATGATCAGTTGTGCTTCCACCATGTAATGCTCACTGGGCATCTTTGTAAAGAATCTAATAAAAAAAGGGGGATTATGGTGAATATATGCACGATAACAATGCTTAGTTTTACAAACTTTGATTTCTTTTCTGCCTCTTTGATCTCTTCCAATAGTTCTATTTCCATCCATTCGGGAGGCACAATGCGGCATTTTTGTTGCTTACGCAAATGTATACCAAGCCATAGCGGCACATGGACGGGAAGACCCGCACGAAATGGTCCCACACTACCCGATATTAAATGCAGTGGATCAAAGGAGAAATTAGGCACAATACCAATTATGGATTTCTCGCCAATAAATTCTATAATACAAGGCTCCATTACTACTTCGATAAGAACGCTATTTACTTTTGTTTGCAGCTGATCGAGTGAAAATTTAGCCGCCAAATTTGTAAACAAAGTGAAATAGCTTATCTCGTGTATCTACGTTCTTTAGAAAATATCAAAACAATTGTTTTGAAAGTGTGCGGAAATGGTTTACTAAAAATTATATGTATGTGCATATGCAAGACAACATACCATTATCTTTTGTTTAAGACAAATTTAGATTAAATGCTTTTTGGCACTATTTCATATAAAAATTATATATATTTTTATTAAATTTTGTATAACGAGACATCCTTTTCTTTATGTATAAATGCTGGTTTGTTTTTACAGAAAATACACGATATGTCCATTATATAATAAAAACAAATGTCTTCTGTTAAAAACATTAAAACATATCTAAACTAGACGCTATCATTAAAAATGTATAAAATATTTGATAAGATAAATTCGTATATAAACAATTCACATGATTGATATTATAAGAAATATATAAATTATTACGAGATTAGATTAAAAAATAACACTTTAGCACGAAATTTTAAATAAACTTACGCCTTTAAATAAAATATCGATAATTACACAATTCAAATGTAATGTATGCACGATGATGAAGTGATAGACAATTGCACTTTTAGCCTTAATTGCTAGTAGACGTTTACACCATGTACTAAATATCCAGTAGTTGGTACTTTTTAAGTGACATTGAATATGTGAGCGCTCTTTTATCATATTTTATTTATATTGTTTCAGTACGTGGGTCCAAATTATGAATAGCTTGTATAAGAGTAACGTTACTTTTCGTATTAATGCCTTTTTTAGACATTTCTTCTAGACGATCAGTTATTGGCTTTTGATCCAACCCCCGCTGCCACCTGAAAATATAGTTTTCTCATATATAATATATTTAATATGACAATATGTACATGGTACTCACCAGAGATGCGTACAGGTGTGCAACAAAGGAATATACAATTGGAGAAGGTCGATGTCACACAGTGTATCGTATCGACTTAAGGCCAGAGTTGCCCAACGTTCAGCTGAATGATGAGGCACTGGAGACATAGTACAAGCCGCTACTAGGCGACATAGTATAAGTAGCACTGGTCTTGAACGATCCATGAATATTTTATTCAATAAGCGAAAACAATTTTCTAATAATGGTATTGCCATTTCATTACGACGCTCGTCCAGCAATTGGCAGGCTTTGGACAATTCGTTATCTTGTAGAAAATGTAAAAAAGCAGGCGTATCACGTAATGTACTACAGCTTGTTACATGCGTTAGAAAAGTCTCAAAAGCAGCGCTCCGCTCTGCAATTAAATCAGCTGAAAAATTGCCAACAAGCACCTTATTTGGGAAGTACAAAGTAGACATTTTATTTGGAAACTCCTTCTTGAGTATGTTATATAGATTGCGGAAGTCCGTATAACGACGTTGAATGGTTGCTGGTTGTGGATCGATGATTGAGGAATCTTGTCGAACGGATAATTCGTAGATTACATAACGTTTTACTTTGAGATCCTCGCCATCGGGTGGCATAATGCGAGCAAGTTGAATTTCAAAACGTAATATTGTTGAACCATCATCGGGCAAAATGGGCGCTTCTAAGGATGCGGGACGTTCCCACAAATCTAAAGGCGAAATAATTCAATTAATAACATGAATAAAGACAATTCGCATCCCTTTCAATTCACTTACCCTTTTGTGGCGGTTTGATAGAGTCATCATTAATAGCTAACGAGCCGGACTCTATAGTTATTGAACTTTCGAGTTCCTCTGTATTATCGGTTATGTCGACTGAATGCACTTGAGTCCTTCTAGCCATTGCGGCGCGCACTTTAAAACCAGTAAATACTTTCTCATTATGTTTAATTATTATTATTTAAAAAGCGGAGAAAATTCACTTAAATTTATTGTTATATATTCAAATTAAATTATAAGTGTCAAACTAAATAACTATAGCTGATAATAAAACCAGTATAACGAAAGTAATAGAAAAAATGTTTTTGTTTATAAGAAATATATCTTTTTAACTTTACGTGGACTCTCAACAAAAGCAACTTTACCAATATCAATTGAACATATGAAACTTACTAACTGCTTGTTGCCACTCCCCTTGAACACTCTTTATGTGATATAGGGTTTCAGCAAATACTGTCTGAAACAAAACAAAAGATTATTCATCGCCACCAAAATATATAAATACGCATTTATTTCTTTTTTATTCAGTTATATTTATAATGCACAAATGACTAATAAGCCATTCATTCAGAAATGGAGGGGCATATTCAAGCTGGTTTGTGTAGTAAATGCATTTACACCATATTATTTTTTTAATTTTTTATAGTTACTAATAAACAAATGTAACATATTGATATTTAAAGAATATCAAATTCAATAATTATAATTAACATGGCAACTGTTAATTTGTAGTATACCTTCTAGAATGCAAAATACTCTTTGTTTGTTAATTTGTATTTGTTATATTTAACTAATCTCTCACTACAATTTAATCCAAGCCGATAGTTGTGAATGAAAGTGCAATACTAATCTCGTACGACATTCATTAGTGTTAGTATAGCCAGATGTTCAGTTTAAGCGATCGGACTGTGTTTATCTATACTGCCTTTATACACAGACTCTTTTGTCGCTCGTTATTGGCATATCCTTTTTGGGGCCGCTCTGTGCGTTCACAGGAGCGACACGAGTCGAGTTTTTCTGTCGCCTTTGCTCATCAAAGAACTGTTATTAATAGGTACATAAAGTACGCTGCACGAATACGAGGGGCTCAGTCCCCTCGTTTTTCCTCACCGTTCCCTCGCAAACTAAAAAACCGATTTGGCCAACAAAATAATCCGTGTGTGAATGACACTTTTAAGCAAGTAAAAATCAGCTGTGTGTTTTTATAAAACTACAACTGTTTGGCAACACCCATTTGCACAACAACAATTTTATTTGCAGAATAAAGTGTTTTGTAGCACTATTTTACCTGACAATAATTTTACACATTAATAAAGAAAATGACGCTTCCGGAGTTTTTTGGTTGTTCCTTCATCGCATTTGGAACTCCCTTTGCGATGTTTGTTTTCACAATAGCGAATGATTCGATTCGCATAATTATTCTTATTGCAGCAGCCTTCTTTTGGTTATTATCGCTATTGTCATCAGCCTTGCTCTGGTTCGCTATTGTCCCATTACGCGAATACTTATGGTTTGGTGTAATATTTTCGGTACTGTTTCAAGAGGGCTTTCGTTACATTATTTATCGTATACTGCGACGAACGGAGCAAGGTCTTCAGGCCGTATCTGAGAATCCAAGCATAATAGAAAACAAACATATTCTAGCATATGTTTCCGGACTTGGATTTGGTATAATATCCGGTATGTTTTCAATGGTTAATCTTCTAGCAGATATGGTGAGTACGATTGAAAATGTTATAAATGTTATGTATTTATATTTTTTATGCTTTGTAGTCGGGGCCAGCTACCATGGGACTTAAAGGAGGCTCGGAGGTGTTCCTAATAACTTCGTCGACACAAGCACTTGCTATGATATTGTTACACACTTTTTGGAGTATTATATTTTTTAATGGTTTCGACGTTAATAATTATATGCACATAGCTTACGTGGTTGGAACACATCTCTTTGTTTCGCTGATTACATTACTGAATGTACATGAGATGTATTTAGCCACGTTATTACCCAACTACATTATTCTCTTAGCGACTGCGGCTTTGGCATTTAAGGTAGCCGGAGGCAGCAAAACTTCGTTTCTACGTTTTGTTAAGTGCCAATGAGACCAAAACTTATGTATATATACATACTTACAATACCGAAATATTTGAACACCTCTGGTATTAACTAAATAAAATCAATCAATTAATTTTTAATGTATTAATATAACATTAGTTAAGACTACGTAACTAACAAACTAATATTATAAGTAATTCAACTCATTTATATTTAAATTTATTTCATGTGAATAACCATGATAGAAAGTATAATAAAAAGCCATTACAAGAATAGATCCACATTCTGCTCATGGAAAATACTGTGCTTTTCTCACTGTTATACCATAGTCTGCAAGAGCGGGCGCCAAGTCGTCCATGGTTAAAGTGTATTTGCGATCTTTTGCTGGTTTTTGACCCTATTTAAACAAAATAATATATATATATAAATAATGACTTATCTGATTATATATTCTTACCGGTGTATGTGTTCCAGGCGTGTTGCTTTGACTATTACAGCGAGTTTTGCACTGTTGTAATGCGTCATTGGCGACATCGGAAATAAATTTTTGTGTAGCCACCGATATAAGACGAACAATACGGGGATCATTTGACTCGAATCCTGCAGAATTAAGATAACAAGCAGTTACTGCATCTGGCACTGTGGGTACGTAATCCTCCAGTTGCAGCATAAAATCGCTCAATTGTTGAACAGCGGCTCTTTCCTCAGGTGCAACGGAGCCAACTGAATTAGCTGCATTTGAGTTAGATGAGTTTGGACGATAAATACCAAAATTAGTTCCAATCATTTTAATATATTAATATTTTTTTTATTTTTTATAGTTCAAATTAAACTTAAAAAAATAACTATAGTTGTTTTTACTTCTTATATTCAGTTCTCTCTTTCGCATTTTTAAATGTCACAAAACAAGGTAAACACTTTTGTCATAAAGCGAAGCAGTGTTGCCGTTAATTTTTGTCTCACAGTGTCTAAACGATAGAAATTATATATTTTTTATTATATACAAAGATAATTTAATAAATTCTATTTTTTATATAAGCATGCGCAGAAAAATAACAATATATTCAATAATGAAACAGCTTTCTCTTTAATAATAGTCACGGTACTTTTCAAAATAAATTTTTAATTCTTCTAAACAGTTTTCTTGTTAATTCTATGTGGATTGTTCAGAAATGCAACCGTATGGTGTTATCAAAACAAAAAACATATGTGTCAGCACAAATACATCAAATGGTGCATAAGTAAAATAATCGATTTTGGAACTTCGTGATAATTATTGAAAAATAGAATTGTAACACATAAAAAATAGTTCTTACATAAAAAACGGTTATAAATTTATCAAGCTCCAATCAATATACAGGGGAATATTTAGTATCGCGCCGGTTAAATATCGTTTATGGAGAAAAACAGGGTCGGGCTATCCCCACTCCCGACCCCTTATTGGAAAGAGGAAGGATCGAACTTTTTAATAAACCCTCCCTCGACCCCCTAGATCCCCTATGGACCTGTAGCTGTCTCTTATACACATCTAGATGTGTATAAGAGACAGGTCCAACACCGGCTACGCCATCCACAGTATTTTTGCATTGAACACCTTTTCCTCCACAGTATTTTAGCATTTCATTCCTTTCCGCACTAGCGGCCTTCGGCCGCGCTTTAAAAAAATAACCCTGGCCGATCCAACACCGGCTACGCAATCTACAGTTTTTTAGTATTGAACACCTTTTCGCGTTCACTTCATACATTTATTGCTAAGTGGGTTTAATTTATTCCCTTTTGTTCGTGCTTTCTCGGTAATTTGACAGTTCAAATTAGGCAGTCATTTTGGTTTTCCGCATTATTGAACTCAATGCAGAAAAAGGTGTATTTTATTTAAAGATTTACAAAGAAATTAACAATCAAAAGTAATTAAAGACATTACTAGTGGTTTTTATAATTCATAAGTAATATATGTGCGTGAAAATGTATCCATAATTGGTTTGGTTCCATTCAAAACAGATGAAAATACACTAGCATATATTTAGAATTTTGCAAAAAATAGCATTTTTTAAAGTGAATTTGTGGAAAAATTTGTGAACCGATTTTTATAAAATATTATTTAAAACAAAGTTCGATAATTTAAGCATACATGCGTGTTTAAAATTTTTCATTTGGTTTTCTCATTTAGGTACGGTGAGCCAAAATTAACCGGCGCGATACTAAACCCAACCCAATATACATACATATATAGAAAATTCATTTCTTTTTATTATTTCAAAAGCAATCACTTATGTTAAGTTGTCTCACATCTCTAGGTTGAATTGACAAAACAATATACACAAAGTATCCACTAATACACAAAGTGAGATTTTAAAGAAAGAAAAATAATTAACAGGCATAAATTTTCAAATTAAAATGGTTATTGGAAACGAAGAAAATTCACCATCGCCTGCTTCACCACCAATTGATCAGGAAGATTCACCACCATTACCACCTCCGCCAAGTGAGGCACTAGGTGAATTGCTGGAACAAATGGAGGATTATATACCGACAGTACCAGATGGTCTCACGGCAAGTTTTCTTAATCAAGCTGGTTTCGAGACTATGGACCCTCGTATTGTACGCATAATTTCGGTTTCTGCTCAAAAATTTATATCTGATATTGCCAACGACGCATTGCAGCATTGCAAGACCCGCACAAGCAGCCAACATTCTGGCGGTCACGGCTCAAATAAGGTATTACGAAGAAAATATTAAAACAAACAAATTTTCAAATATAAATGCATTATTGTTTCAGGACAAAAAACCGAATAAAGATCGTCGCTATACTTTGGCTATTGAAGATTTGACACCAGCCTTAGCTGATCATGGCATAACTATGCGAAAACCGCAATACTTTGTTTAAATAACTATTATCAACGATAATTTAATTAATAAATTTCATCATATTTCTATAAATACGATTGGAAACATATCCTCGATTCCATATATGAATAAGATAAATAACAAAAAAAGGTTGAGAAAATATTTATTTATATTTTACATCAAATTTATTGATATTTTTAATATCCCTTAAGAATTATTTTCGTGTTATCTTTAAAATATATAGATATTCACCAGGAATTCGTCTTTCCATAAACTTAATTGCAGTAAAGCCCAAAGTATTTAAATTGATTATTAATTCATCCGTTTTATTTTCACGTAGCGCCAACAAATAGAAAACCCCTTTTGCAGATAAAATGCTATCCAAACTCTTGAGCAGTTCATCAATTACACGTCTACCATGTACACCTCCAGCCCACGCAAATGTTATTTGTGAGTTAATAGACGATTGATTTTTTAATTCTTCGTCCGAGGTTACCACGTAAGGCGGATTGAACACAAGTACATCGATCGTCTTTTTACGCAAAAGATCTACCAAGTTGCAATTTATGCTTTCCACAAATGTACCGTTATGATTAGCTGTTTTTTTCGTCACCTTACAAGCATATGGATTTATATCAGTAGCTAAGCAAAGTGTTTCTTTTAACCTTTTTGCTAACGCTGTAACAATGATACCACTACCCGGTCCAACTTCCAAGCAAACTTGCGGTTGTAAACTCTCAATAAAGGGTAGGTCAGCTTCTAAGGCATCCAACAATAGAAAGGAATCTTCTGCTGGCTCATACACTTGTTCGTAATCGATTGATGTTAGATGATCTGTGTAAGGAGTTTCCATTTTTTTCTTTTTAAGATATATTTGAGCTTATAGCTGAGTCAAGAAGAGCTTGTCTACGACGTTGTTCTTTTTCGATAAGCCTATACAATCCAGTTAAACGTTCCTGGCTTGTACTGAGAACGTTTGTTATGACTGTTACCTTATGCTTCACGTTTATCAATTCTTTAACTTTGCTAGAGAACTCAGGAATATTGTGCTGCGCCTTCTCTATTTCCACCAGTTGCACTGAAAGTGAGTCCAATTGTTTTTTTAATTCTACTTGTGATGCACGAGTGGCTTGTATGTGTTCGTCCAATTTCTCCACTGATGGTTTAAATAAATTCACGATACCTTCCGCCAATATATCACGGGTATGATTTGTGCAGAAATTTTCGGTATTTTCATCCAACGATGTCACAGTGCTATCTGAATCTTTGTCCATTGCTGAATTCAGATTTCTTAACAAACAATTCAGTTGTCACAAAATCTTTCATTTACCATAAAGAACAAATGCAAAAAACAAAAACAGTCAGACTATATGGTTGCCGTTTGTCAACTTTTAACCAATATAATACAATTTTCTAAACGGTTCATTGACACAATATTCTACTTTGATTAATAATAATAGATATAATTGCTATCTGAATTTATGAAAAGAAAATGCTCACTGGAATATGTGAAATATATTTATGCTTTAATATTGATTAAAGTTCGTTACTTTTCTGCAAATAATATTCCTTTCAAATTGTGATTTATAAATAAAAAATTGGGTATAATCAGACATAATTTTCGCTACATGAAGAAGTTAAGCAACGGCAACCATAGCCAATTGTTAGCAGAGTTACAGGATGGTATTCAAATACATATCATTTATTTCCAAATGACTAATTAGAATTCAAAATTTCGAAATATTTTACTCTTGAAAAATATTTAAAACATGCATTCATATGTTAAATACTTTAAATATTTCTGAGATACTTCAAAATATAGCTAAAACCCACCAACTTTGGATTATTCGAAAAATTTCCCTTCGAACTTATTTCATTCTCATTTTTTCGATATCGAAATTCTAAGTGAAATCAAATCGAACAAATTGTAGTGATATTAAACCACTCTGTTGTGTTGGCACTAAAATTATATGTCAAAAAAAAATCGTCTACGAAATGTAAGTAATATTTTTTTTTTATAAAATAGTAATATAGATGTGAAAATCGTTAATTTATTTCAAAATAAAGGGGTCGGCATAAAAATGGTGCACAGGAAGCCATAATGGTTAAATTTATGCAAGAGTACCCTGATCTTGCTTGTGGTACATTATCGAACAAACAACTGAGAAATTATCTTTGGAATTTGCTGGCCAATAAACTGAATGTTCGCGGTCCACCAAGGAAAACACCTGAACGGTGGAAAAAAGTCAGTAAAAGTACAAATTTTTCATCAAAATGATATTATTATTTTGTATAGGTTTGGTTCGACTGGCGCTCTGCAGTTAAGAGGAAAATTGTACAAGAGAGAAATGAAGCTGCCGCTGGAGATCAGGATGACCTACAAATTAGAAAAACTTTTCTATCGTCAATTGAAAATAAATTAGCACACATTTGCGGATTTTTAGATAACGACATCAACGGTATTGGCAAATTAAACAACGCTGATACCAATAATGAAGTTTCAGTGACTTCCGAAGTTGGTTTTGAATCTGGAAGAGCATCTGTATCAGAAGTGAGTAAAGATTTGGGTGCTGATGCAGATATCCATGCTAAATCAATCAAACAAGAAGATTTTCGTGGGCACTATGATAGCATCACCAATGTAATTAAAGAAGAGTTGATACTTGATGAGACTGATAATGAAATGCTAATGGATTCAGATACTGATTTTAATACTTTTGATTTTGGCGATAATAGAAATATCGCGGAAACAGAGTGCATAACCGTGCAGCCCTTTGTCATGTGCCACTCAACACTGAGTGAGGTAAAAAGTGAAATACAAAATAGTGACGCTGAACATCCGCCAAAAGAACAAAAAAAAGCAAAAACGAACGATCAAGATGTAGTTCAGCTTGTTTCACAGCAAACGACATTAATAAAATCAGTTTCCGAGCTAATCAAAGAGACTGCCAAAGGACAAGCTGAAAGCTTGAGTGTCATGAAAGATATAAGACACGGTCTGAAGGAAATGTTTGAATCAATAAATAAACTTAACGAAGCAACAGCTGAAAAATTAAAAGAGCAACGTAGGCATAATTATGAAATAGAAAAATTGCGAAGAGAAGAAATGCTGTTACAGAAGCAACAGCTTGAATTGAATGAGTTGGCTATATTTAGAAAAGATTAAACTAGACATTTAAGTCGTTAAAATAGTATTTATATTTTTTTCACACTAAGGTAATTTTTAAATGTGTAAAGTACACTTATTTAACATCATTCCAAAAACCGGCTTAAGTTTTTTAAATAAAATATGCCTTATATAATAAGTTACGTTAAATCTTTGTTAAGACTAATCGATTCAAACTACGAAAATCTTTCTGATTCTGATGTATCTAATTGTAATTTATAGATACTGTAATGCAATGAGAATGTTTAAATTAAAAAATGGAGTTCTCATACTTATAATAATTTTTTGAAGGTTTATTTGAATCTCTAATTAATCAAAATGTAATAATATAACCTAAGCTGTTAAATGGAGATATTGATTTTGCAACGAACTGTCATTGTCATTTCCAAAAAAAATTTTTTTTGCATATATTTCGAATTTACATGTGTATGCAAATATATTTGAAAATATTCTTCGATAATGATCCCTCTACTAATTTCACAAATATGAACTTATTTGTACTTTCTTTTGTCTCTGTTTACATAGTCAGTAATGATCAAAGGATTCGAATTTTTAAACCACTCTGAAGTGTAAAAATTTTTCACAAAATATTTTTTTTTTGGAAGTCGCAATTTTTTCAAAAAATAACATTTTTTTATTTTAGTTGAGACTTTGTGAGTTAGAAGAGGGCACAATAGACCCTAGGTCGTGGTGCAATCCTCATTTACTTATCTAATCTATTCTAGTTCATGATCATTACTTGCATAAATATATTTATAGTATGTATATTTTTTTTTTCAAAGAGCTTTGCATTTGAGATAATTTCAAGCTGAAAAGTCTTCTTCACCACCTCACACATTTTTCAGAGGTCCTCCAGGAGATCGCCGTGATCCACTGAAATTTAAAATTAAAAAAAAAATTAATCGAAATTAGGATATCATAAAGAAATTGGTACACGGGTTCCTAGGCAAAAAAAAAAATAAAGTATGAGTTCGTATGTAGATGAGCGTAATCGCACCACTGTCATGACCACAAAATTAACAGAAGACATATAAACTGCACTATGAGCACTAAATTAAGATACAAAACTGTAATTTGTCACATTTGGGATCGTAGTAGCAAGGGTCATCTGTGGACTAAAAATTCTTTATAGAAGCCAACGTCAAAATAAGACGATAAACATGGCACCGCCTACATTTAAATGAATACAAATATTTCAGGACTACTCGACCAATTTCGACCAAACTTAGTATCTAATCTCATCTTGACATTAGTATGCTTCAGTGCGAAAATGAGCGAAATCGTACTAATAACCAACAACACAATACAATTTCAAATTCAATCTGATCCTATTAATCTGTCTTATGCCAATAACCCGAAGTTTTCTATAACTCGAACTCTTAAATTGGCCCTAGAAGTCAAATTTCATACAAATTTCCTTCATAACTCGAAGTCTCTGTTACTCGACATTTTTTGGTGAATTATGATGATATGAGTTAGAGAAGTACAACTGTAATTGTACTCATATGAAAATAACATATATTTTTTTTAAATAAATTTAAAATACATATAGTATGTGCATATGTATTTTTATATACACCATTCTTTTAATAGTATCATTTATAAAAATAGCTGATGAAATAAAAATTGTACATACATATACATATGTACATATGAAGGTGCTTCCCATTTGATTATTGATTATTGACGAAGTCTCTCGAAGTGTCTGCATCGTGTTCTCGTACTTCAGTTTGTTCGGTGTGCTACCAATTTTGTTGGTATTTTGAACGAGTGTTGGGAGATTGGGTGTTTTGAGATTTTAAGCTCTTACTTATAGAAATACATTCATATATATAAACATATTAGTGTACATGTCACTCCACTCCCTGAGGGTGGTTTATTGTTTCATTGGTTAGTGGTTTTATTTGATTTATTCGTTTGTTGTTGCTGTTATTGAACTCCCCATAGCATGCGATATTAACATTGTTTGCCTGTGAATTTATAACCAAGCACATTGTATGTAAAGTGTATCGCTTTCGGATTATATACACAGAAATGTTAACTATTGAGTTGGGTGTGTTGTATGTACATATATATATATACGTCTTTGTTATGCAGTAAATTGTGTGTTAAATATTTGCCATATATTTGAGAGGGGTATACTTTGCTTAAATTGTATTTGTGTAAGTATATATATGTATTAATGCATATATCTAGCTAATAATCTATATTTGATTGATATATACATATGTACATATATATTTTCTCTTCCAACCGCTTGAAAAATATTATAATACGTATTTCCATATGTAAATATACATACGTTACATACAACACCGGCCGTCCATGCAGGCAATTGAATAGGACGCAAGAATTTTAGGGCGACATTTTGACTAATTTTCTTTACATACATATGTACATATTTTTACACCAAAATGTTTGCCCTAACAAGAAGGATTCAACATAAAAAAACTGTTAATTTTCGATTTAAACCGTAGCCAAATTATAATTCTTTTCCCATGTGCCTATATAACATGGCATTTTTTGATATTTTGCATTAACCAAGTAAAATTATAATTAAAAAAAAAATGATATTCTAATAAATTCAAAAGTTATACGCAAACAAAGTTAAACATGTGTACTGTATTCATATAGTACATACTCAAAACCGATAACTTCTTTTAGGGCCAAACTTGGAACTTCACGGGACGATCGCAAAAAAAAAAAAAAAAAAATTGGTAAATCACGGACACCCTAATACTTATATATGTATTTTATATGTACCTATATACGTGCATATGTTTCTATGTGTATCTACCCATGCATGTAACTTAATACATGCTAGCAATAAAACTACAACTTGGCAAATTTATCATTTTACTACCAAGTATATATGTATACATAGTATGTACATACATACTTTCGGTATAATTAATACTTTTTATTTATTATATATTTTTCACATAACATATGTTTCTCTTTTTTGTTTGTTTGTATAGTTAGTAGTTAGTAACTTCGTTCATTAAACGTATTTATAAATATTTGTATAAACAAATGAGGTCTTTTTGTATGATTTTATTTTTTATTCAGATGTTTAACAATTTTATTGGATATATGTATATACTTTTGATCTCTAATGCATGGTAAAATTTGTAAATAATACTGTATAGGGAGATGTTTAGCTGTATTAAGTATTTTTACAATATA